ATATTTAATAAGCTCTTTAACTAGTCCAGATGTTTAGAAGGCTACAGTTTAGCAGATTAAATTAACTTTAACTAGTCCAGATGTTTAAAAGGCTCCAGATTATCAACTGTAATCAATTCTAACTAGTGCAGATATTTAAAAGGCTACAAATTATTAGATATAATCGTCTCTTTACTTAGTCCAGATGTCTAAAAGGTGATTATCAGATGTATTAATCTCTTAAAACTAGTCCAGATGTTTAAAAGTCTACAGATTAGCAGATGGAATCATCTCTTTAACTAGTCCACCATAAATACAGACCCTTTTTGGTATCCTGAATCTGTCTCATGATTTCCTCTCTCTCCGCTGCCTCGGTTGCCGTAGTAACACGGAAGGAGCCCTCGCGAGTGAAAGTGGTTCTGTTGGCATCAAAGGTTGCCGTGACGCCACACTCCTTTTCCCGTTTCTGTTTTCTTTCCAGACACGCAGCAAACGCACAGCCCACAGCGTGACTTAGTCTCTCACCCTGAAAAGACACAAAGCATTCACAGCCCATAATTAAAAGGCTATAATCTGATCAAATTTAAACTCTGAGCAAAGTGAATAAAACCCCCTAAACATCCGTTTACCTTATTAAAGTACCAACACATTAAATGACAACTAGGATGTCAGTTTAATAGTTCAGTTGAAAGTAAAAAAAATTAATAAAAAGAGAAGACAATGTTTTCCACGGAGTTCTTACGGAGTCTTTGATGGCCATGAAACAGTGACAGATCCAGCGCCGTGTGGTGCCGTCTCTGCAGATGTAGGAGAACGCCTTCTCAAAGTTCCTGTCTGGTGCACAGAATGAAACCTTCTCTATCGTCTGATCCAGAATCAGGTCCTGCAGAAAGACGTTCCCGCCATCGTTAGCTCAAATCAAGTCATTGTGAAGCACGACTTCAGGGATTTAATCTCCATCAGAGCTCAGGTAATAAACTACAACCAGCTCCAGCAGGTTCTGACACGGGTCTGGATCTAACCAGCATCTTCAGCGTCACGTTGCGTAGGAAGGAATCTGACTCTTTCTTTGGTATTAAGTGAATATAGAAACAAAATATTTACACTGATTTGAGAAAAACAAACAGAACTTTAACTTTATTTTTTTTCACAATGAACGTAAATGAAAAGAATAAGGAAGTTCATTAACCCTCAGAAGATCTCTCGGGGAGAGAAAAATAAATAAATAAATCAGCTGTGAATTTACGTTTGTGTTTTTTTTGTTTTATATATTGCCATCAATAAACACAACCGTTCCTGCAAAACCTAAAAAAATAATTGAAAACTGTTTTACTTAGTAAGAATTAAAATGCTGATGTAACGTCAGTTACATCACTGCCCTCTAGTGGTCATCAGGGGAAAACAGACCCAATTTAAATCCAATATAAATGCATTTTTATTTCTATACTTATCAGATCGTAAAATAATGGATTTCTTGTACCTTTTTTTTTGTTCCTTCTCCATTCTTTTGATTTTTATATTAGCTCAGTTGGCTCAATGGGGTTAACCTGTCTAAATAAAGGTTGAATGAATGGTGGTGATTCTTTTCTACATTGAAGGGATGCTGTAAACATTGCCATTAACAAGCTGCAAATTACCCAAAAAGTTGCATCTTTTGTGGCTGGACGTTGTTCTCAAACCCTGTTTCTCATCTCGTCTGAAAAAACTCAAGTTTAGATGTAAGGAGCCAAAACACACTTGTGTTGGGCATTAGTAAAAAATACAAAAAACAGATTCTCTGCATGCTGACGGCCTGATCGTTCGCTCTGGACCCAAATATGGCCGACTGCTGTTGGCTCGACACCACCAGTGGACGGTGCGGACTGCAGCAGCTTGGTGGGAAACAGGTACAGTAACAGTAAAAAGCAAAACACACACTGGTGTTGTGCATGAGTAGTTTTAGAAATAATTTTAAAAAGAAAAATTGTATAGAAGAACCCTTTTATGTCAACCACCAACTCGATTTGTGAAAATTCGACCAAAACCAAGGCATCACTTTTGGCTTCTTGTTCTTCTCAAAATGTAAGACTGGAACTTTCATTTATTTATCGCCGATACAGATATTGGGAGGGGAAGGCGACTGCCGATAACTGATATAATGGCTGAAAATTTTGGAGCTTTGTCCACCCCCAAGAGTCTAAGTAAACAGTGAGTGGAGCGGGGCTTGTTAATTTAGCGCCGCTGTTAGCAACCATGAAGCTAAGCTAATCAGATTTAATTAGTCCCACTGTGTTGACTTTTGTTCAAAGACAGTAATAAGTTCATCACGTGAGTAAGTTACATAAATGAGGTAAGTTCATAGTTAATAATTATTTTAAGTAAATTCATGTTAAAACCTGTTAAAAGGTTTTGGGTTTGAATTCTAATCAGAGTGAGACATCTGACCATCATATTGTATGTGCAGCACGTGACGTAGTGAGCGCTCTCATCACTGAACACTCTTTGGCGTCTTGTCTCCAGTAAAATAAGTTATTCAGAAAATAAAGGAGAAAACAGATCATATACATGCTTGTGCCTTGGGAGACCTTCTAAATACAAGATCCTCAGTAAAACCAAGAAAGCAAGCCTTGTCTGAGGACTTTTATTTTGTTCGCTGGCTGTCAAGCTTCACATAGTCCAGTGTTGTGAGAACAGCATACCCACACTAATGTTAGCTTGCTAACTTGAGAGGCACATAGCTAAAGACAAGCGGGTTAGAGGACTGAACATCATTTATTATTCTTTATTTTTATGTTTTATTTTACAAATCAGTTAAAATAAACATATCATGCTCTGTTGAGCAAAATACGCAGCACGGTATTGCTCCCTGCTTAGTCTGTGCTGAACCGTAAGTGAACACCATGACTTGTAAGTAGTCTTCATGCTCCCTCTGCTGGATACATTGTACAATTACAGCTGGTTCCAGCATTTTAGGGGTGGAAATTAGAAGTGCTTACATCGGCCGATAATGGGACCATTATTGCCGATACACGATATGTCCCCAAACGCCTATATTGGCCATATTTATCGGCCCTACCGATATATCAGTCGTGCTCTAATTTTTATTAAAAAAAATAAACCTTAAACCTCAAGGAATGACGAAGTAATTTATTTTTATTCCGCATGCTGAGGGTGAACAAGCAGGTTTTCCAGCAGATGTCCCTGTGGTCTCTGTGGACTCCTGCAGGAGAACTGTGAGAACATTCTTCCAAACCCGACCTCTGACCTGAACCTCAGCAGCTTTTTTCACTCTGTATTATTCAGCTCGTCTTTCACTTGTTCCACTGTTTTGTTGATGTTTCTCAGGATGACATGGAGGATCGATTTAATACCTTTGTTTTGTCGTCTACGACACGGAGACCATCTGCAGACACCCACAGCACCGCTCGCACTGGCTTCTTCCCAGCCTGCAAACACAACAACACAACAACACAACAAAGTAAACAACACATTACCAGCTTCACATTACTCTTTGGTCATTACTCATTTAACCTCTTTTCACACACACACACACACACACACAGCACACCTGTAAATAAGAAAGAGAGAGCAGCTGGTGAAGGAGGATAAAGGAGTTGTTTCCCGAGGGCTGTGCCTCGCAGGAGGAGTCAGAGTTTAACAAACAGAAGGGATGGTGTGAGATTTGGTGCTCTGATGCAGCGTAAAGTGATGAACCCCGTTAGTCAGAATATTAACGACAGAGGAAACGTTCATTCACACCAACTGTTCCATGTTTGGTTCAAGAGCAGCAGAGCTGAAAGGAGAGAAGGCTGTTAATACAAAACCACGCACAGATGATAAACGAACCACCACACTAGCTCACACACACATGCTTTACTGCGCTCGTCTTACTCCGGACACGTTAAACATGTGTGTGTGTGTGTGTGTGTGTGTGTGTGTGTGTTTCTTCCAGCCCTCAGATGTGATCAAAGAGTGAAGTGTGACAGAAGGAAAATTAAAAATTATGCCAACATGTGAGAAACACACTCCGATACACAAAGCAATAACTTACTTTAGTAAAGAATCCTCTGAAGAATTTCCTGTCCTGGAAGTGGATGTGGTAAAAAGGAGGATGGGTGAAGGGTGGAGGAGACGAGGGGGTGGGGTGGGACAAGGCATGACAATGTTACCTATAAAGTGTAATAACTGTGTGGATCCCAGAGGATGGGGTTTGATTGGAAGTTGTGTTTGTTGAGGTTAGGTTATCAGTTAGGTGAGGGTCTCAGTCTAATCACGTGTTTGATGGGTGATAATTAGTGGTTCATGATACTGTTAGAAAAGAGGCCCTCCCTGACCCAACCTGGGCTTGAACCTGCAGCCTCAGGATTACAAGACCGAGCTACTTCAGACCCCATGAGAAAAACAGGAAAGAATAATTAAAAAAAAAAAAGTTAATTTTGCAGGACCACTGCAGAAAAACCAACAGCCCTTGGTTCTGATAGTATTTTATTCTAGAAGAGATTCCACTTTACACTCCCAGACCAAGACAGAAAGACAAGCAGCCTGAACAGAAACCTGCAGGTGGGGGTTATGAACCTGAACACAGAGCTACAGGTGGGGTTTGAACCTCAACAGAGACCTACAGGTGGGGGTTTGAACCTCAGAGACATACAGGTTGGGTTTGAACCTCAACAGAGACCTACAGGTGGGGTTTTAACCTCAACAGAGGCCTACAGGTTGAGGTTTGAA